CGCGGAAGGCCCCCCCCCCCCCCCGCCACAAAGCGGCCCCTGGCCGTGAAGGGCGTCAGGTGCAGCTGGCCAGACATCTGGGCGAAGTCCCTCTGGTACCGGCGGGAGAATTCGTCCCCCGCCTGGCGCAGGGCAAGGTGGACGACCTGGGGCGCAGGGTGCAGCCCCTCAGCCGGGGCCACATGGCTAGCAGCAGCCAGGCCGGTGGGCTCGGGGTGCGGAGACACCGGCCCAGTGTGATCAGAGGAGGTCCCAGCAGCAGCGACTGCAGCAGCAGCAGCCGGAGAAGAGAGACCTGGAGGCAGGGGCGTTCTGTCCTCGCCGGCAGCCCAGTCGTATCCCCTCTGTGAAAGTTTATAATGGATGTACTTCAGCACTATCTCCCGGTTATCGTAGCCTCTTCTCCCCGGGTGAGCCATAATTCCCAAGAGGAAGCAGCAAGAGGAAAGGAGAGAGGAAGAAGAGGAGCAGGATGAACCCAAAAAAGTAAAGCAGCCAATAAAAATAAAATTAATAACATAAAAAAATTATAATCCAGTTACTGTATCAGGCACGGTTTTCATTCATGGTGGTGTGGGGGAGTTCTCAGGGTCTCGGAGGTACTTTTGTCTTCTCAATATTTCCTCCTCGGTTTGAGATGCACGGTATAAATAGGGGTTAAAATGCTGTAAATATTTTACTTCCAGGTGCACATTTATTACTTATTATAAATTTACTTTAGGACCATTTCCTCCTCGGTGTTGAAATACATCTTAAAAAATACTCTACCAATTCAAAATCAGGTGCATTTTCCCCTAGGTGCTGAACTAGCACGGACACGAAGGAGCAGACGAACACACACTGCAACAACTGCAATTCAATACGACTTGCTAAACAGCCTTGGATGAACGTTAATCCAATGCACTTTATGCTAGAACCCTCAACACTTGCTTTTTTTTTTTTTTTTTATAAGTTACACAAACTAAATTTCCTCCATAAAGTACTTACTTGGGCTATAAATATGTTCCTCTGTCAAGTTTCCTCTAAAAAAAAAAAATAGCAACAACAAAACCCAAACACCACAAGTCTTCAGCAACGTTATGTCCTGGCTGCTTTGACGCTTCAAGTCACCAAGAAGATGGGAAAGGGACAAAAAAAAAAAAAAATCTTTACGATTTCAAATGTTTTTTCTCAGACTCCTGTTTAACAAGTATCTCCAAAGATGTGTCAAAGGTCAGAAAATCCCATCTCGCAGCCCAGGAAGGTGAACAACCCCAAAGAGATGGAAAATCCTGGAGACCAGATGAGCCACATTTGAATCCAAGCTCTCGCAGAAGTGCTCCTTTCCCTCCAGTGCAACGTACAGACACGGACATTTACGTAGTTTCATTCAGACACCGACCAGAGGAGCCCGGTGCTTCCACACACATGAACGCACTCACCAAAAAAAAATGTAATACGTATTTAGGAAATTAATTTTTTTCACCAGAAGCAGCGTGAAAAAATATAAAAAATAAAAACCGAAAAAGGAAAATTGGTTTTGATTGTGGCTCCGGGGAGAAATGCCATTTCCCGAGCAGCTTTGTA